TGCATAATTAAGAAAAACTGTTATGCCCATTCATGACTAACATGAGTCAGTATAGTCACATTTTGTTTCTGTTTTGGTCATTTTAAACATGCTTTTGTGTATTTCACTGAAAACAAATGACAATTTATGCCTCTCTTTACTGTTGTTGGGGATCAGATTGGTCAAAAATATTTTTTGTATAAAACTGAGACAAATCACTGGTTTTGGATAAATTTGCTGGGACAGGGGACACAGGGCTCAAAACTGGGACTGTCCCAGGTAAAAAGGGACATCCAGTCACCCTACCAAGAAGACAAAACAGGCTGTGGACCCAGAAGAGTTACACAGTGTAGTTTCTTTCTTTATTCCTGCTTCCCTAGCGCTGACCATTCTCGTGTCCTCTAAAGCCCCCCCCTGGCACCACCCCTGGATTTTATTGCCTATTCACTAATCAAAATGGAACAAAACTTTACAGAGTCAGGCAAAGTCCATTATATAATTTGTGGCTTGTTTGGCCCCTTAACAGAATACAGAACAGTGTAGTTTGGATTCGTTTTAATAGTTTGTGCTTTTGGAAAATTGGCCTTAGCATGGAGCCAAACTTGTTCAACATTTTAGCCAAAACAACTCTGCATGTAGTACTCTCACTATAACAACCCGGCCATGGCTCCCCTTTGCTTGAGCCCTTTGTTAGCCGTTCGTGCCTCTCTTTTTTTCTCTACCTGACGCGGCGTTCGAGGTTTCCTGCGCAGAGTGGTGAGCAAGCACTGATGCAAGCGCTATTTGATACACTGAGGTTTCCCCTATTGACAGTTAATGGGAATTCCTTTAGCGAGCGAAACCTGGTCCAAAAAGGGGTTCGCGTAAAAACAAGGAGCTACTCAGAGGACAGTGGTAGCAGATTGATGTCATTGTTGTTAGCCAATGGAGTATTTGTGTAGGCCCAGTTATTTTAGCTGATACAGTAATATTTTGTACTAAAAGACTTTCTGGAAATACATATTGAAAAAAATAAAAACTGCACATCATACATAGAACTATAAGCTATTTTATCACATTATTAAAGGGCCCATATTACGCTGTTTTTGGATCCGTGTTATAATGTTGTTTCCTCATCAAAAACATACCTGGAGTTGTGTTTTGTTTCATTCATACATGTTTAACAGACATATTCTTCATAGTTTTTCTCTTAAACAGAAAACACACCTTCCACCTTATGATGTCATGTGGTAATACAGGAAATGTCCTACTGTGTTTTTGGACTCCATTTGGCTTGTAAGTCTGACATCACACACAAAATTACCGGGTCCAGCGAAACATTTGTTCAAAATGTTTGTGGACTGGATGTCATTATTTGTGGATGATCATTTCTGTGGATAATGTGGATGAGACGCTGCACCTTAAATTTTTCACTTTACGAGAGGTGAGTAGGCTAATGAAGTCTTCCCATTAGTTTTGCTCTATCCCGAATTTGTATTTTGTGTCTCTGTGTCCACTAGAGGCCACACAAACAATATCCTACGTGTGTCATTAGTAGGCCTATGAAAATAGTGTAATTTTAATTGTGTTGGGCTCGGGTCAGATTCAATCATTGCTCTGTTGGATATGGGCCGGGCTCGGACAGAAAAGTTCATTTCCAACAGCTGTTGGAAAGGGTCTGAGCTCATTTAATTCAAAGGAAGTTGTCAGTGTGAGTGTGCTTCAGGGTGGCATTATAAAGGGTAAGGTCCAGGCATCCTGGGAAAAGAAGATTATATTATAAGTTAGTTAGTCATTTCAAAGTTAATACAGTGTTAGGGTTTGGGTTTAGATATTTCTCTCTGTTGTGGACATAAATAGTGATGGGAGAACATGTAATGTGGCGATTTGGATATCCATCAACTGGAAAATGAAAGAATGGTAGTTTCTCCTCGCCATTTGTATTGGTTTCTGATCTGTTTACACAGCGAGGTAAACAACACTGCGGCATTTTTACATGTATATCAGTCGGGCCAAATTCGGTGAGGCTACGGCTTGGACCCAGAAATAGAATTATGAGGTAGTGACTTACAAGCCCTATACACCTTCAAAAGAATAATTTAGATGATTTCAGACCAGGAATTGCCAATTTATACAGAACAAAAGGTAAAAGGTTGTTAACTTGAAAACTTTGGGCGGTTGGTAAGAGTGTTTGTCCACTCATCTGAAGGCTGGCGGTTCGAATCCTGCTCTCGACATAAACATCATTGTGAGTGGTCAGATCCACTGGCCCGCAGGTTGGGTGGTGTGATTCCAGCTCCCCCTGATGAATGCTGTCGTTGTGTCCTTGGGCAAGACACTTAACACACCTCACCCCCAGTGTCTGCATACACTGGTGTAAGAATGTGTGGGTGAATGGGTGAGTGGTTCCTTGTTGTAAAGCGCTTTGAGTGCCTTGAAGATGGAAAAGTGCTGTATATAAAAATGTGATCATTTACCAAAACTAGAACATGACATCACAAGATTCAACAGAGCATTTTGAGCTTTAGAGATTTGGACAGACTACTAATAAAGGGTTACTCAAACATGTGTGAATGAAACAAAAATAACTCTAGGTATGCTTTTGAGGAGGTAACAACATTATAACATGGCTAAAAGCTCACATGAGTAAATGTCTGCATAATACTGGACCTTTAACCTTAGAGTACCATAGGCTCATTACTGCTATAGGGGAAGCCATTTTGACCAGTAACTTCTAGGCCTAGATTTTTGACATTGCAGTAATTGAAAACACTACAAGGAAATATGACCTCAGATGGTCATTGGTAAGCATGCATTTTGTGCTCACCTTAAACCCAGCTAAAATACATGCATTACAGTAAATAATAGTTTTGTTTTATTGATCCAGTATTTAGTTAATTTTAATATTCAACTGTTTACCATCTCAAATTTCATATTTCATTGTCAAAATATGCAGGCTCATCTGAGATTTTCACATATGCTTTTTGTTTGCTCAATTCTCCTTACAGCAATCAAAACATACTTACAACTTTTATTTAGTTTTTTTTTTTTTTTTTTTGAAATGGTGATATCAGCATTGATTATTTCTTTTGAAAATGTCTCCTTTCCCGATCAGCTCAGCGTGTGGAATTTCCTACACTTTTATCTTTATGCAAAATCTTAAAGCCACTCTCAAACCTCCAGCATTTCAAAATCAAAGCGATACAGATCTACAGCTCAACATACAACACTACCGACGGCGCACTTTGTTGTGAGACCCCTGTTTTTTATCCCCGGAGCGGAATATTTCATCACCCAAAACACGAACTTTTTAAAGAATTTTGAACTTGCTCCAAAAACATCACACCATGCGCACCCTAAGAGGTTAGAGAACATGACATCACAGCGAGAGGGAAGGAGAAGCTTGCAAAACATCTGGCAGCGCTGCATGGGTGAGCTGCTGATGGCTGTGGAGCAGATGGGGAACACTTCAAACCTGTGCTTATAATGAGTCTTTAAAGGTGCATTGTGTCATTTTATTCTGGTGCAGGGTCCGTCAAACGCTTGTCTCCGTATAGATTTTATTACTTTGCATGGAATGTTTCAGGTATGGCATTAAACCTTTCTATCTTCATGGAGAACAAACCAGACCAAGTTACAGGTCAGATCTGTGGAGAGGCGACCCCGCTAACAGCCAGAATGCCTGTTTTCTAGGAATTTCTGAGCTATAAAACCACCTGTGATCGGATAAATGTAAGGTAGAGCTGTTTAATGTCATACTGTGGAACATTCCAGGCAGAGCAATGACATCTCCATAGAAACAAGCAATTGACGGACCCCCAACTAAAAAGTTACACAGTGCACCTTTACGTTATTACTGAGAGATGGGCAAGGCGGCACAGTGGGAAGGACTCTCTCAGCAAAGCTAAAGGTCACAGGATTGATTCTTCTGTGTGGTTACTGATACTTTGCAGTGACATTACATTGGGGCTGTTCTACGTGTACGTGTATTGGCAGAATGTTCACTGATTACCATGGAGACACAATGCACACATTAGCAAACACTGCCTGATAAGTTTTAAGATTGTCTGAAAACTCAAGAATAAAATCCAAAGAGCGTTCATGATCCTGTTTATGTGTCTGTTCTTTGTGGTCAGATTGTGTTAAAATTAAGTTCAAATCAAAGTCTAACAAGTCTCAGACAGAACAGTGCTTGCAGTTAGCATCACACTCCCAGGAAATGTTGATGACATCAGCTGCAAAGTATCAATAATGGTAGTGTTTCATTTGTGCTGCTGAAATACTTTTATACTTTTATTCCTCTCCTGTTGTTGACATGGTCCCATTACTCCACTAAGAAGCCTGTCAACAGCATCTACACTGATAAGAGCTCCTTTCCACTTGTGAGTCCAATAGAAACATTTACAATACTATGCTCAGCTTCCAGAGGCATACTCCGTGTTCAGTTGGGGTCGGGTCAGTGATTAGATTGCGTAAAGGTGATGTAAGTGTCCCCCAGAGTGACCATGTTTGGAATACTTCAGCCTGTGATCAGAGGCTCATTCCTGATTGGCAGATTGTACTTTTTTGTTCATGTAATATAATGTATGGGTCATATAATAATGTACATAATAAAGGGGCCATATAACACCATTTTCAGATCTATGTTAAAATGTTGTTAATACCAAAATGTTCCACTGTGTTTTTTCTATACACCTTCACTAGAACCATTTGGATCATTTCAAGCCTGGAAATGCTAATCTCTACTAAACAAACATGTAAATGTAGCTGTTACTTTAAAAACTACCACTACATGACATCACAAGGTGGAACAGAGCACTTTTGGAGCTTTGGAGATGAAGACTAAGATTAATAGCAAAGGGTTGTTCAAACATGTGTGAATGAAACAAAACGCAATTCCAGGTATGTTTTTTGAGGAGTTAACAACATTCTAACATGGCTTAATGCTCATAAAAGTAAATTCTGTGTAATGAACTATGAACAGAGAGTACCAGATCATAGCTCCATACCCCCCTGATGGTGACCCCAGACTGGGTTCTTACCTCTGCACAGGTTCTGATCATCTGCGATGAATCCAGGGGCACAGTGCACAGTGCGGGTCGTCTGAGAGGCCCCCCTCCCTCCAGGAAACACCCGGGGTGGCTGAGGCTGCACAGGGGCCACAGGGGCCACAGGGGGCCCCACCTCTGACACCACATCTGTGGCCTCTTTACTGATGTAGATCACTGCATTCTTGGGCAGGCACAGATACCCACCAAAGTGGTTAATACACTGCATCCCTCCTTTACAGGCATCATCCAGCAGGACACACTCATCAATGTCTAAAACAAGAAAACACGGTTAGCAATTTGTGGCCTGCAGTGTTGTCAATTTATTACATAATCCACAGTTGAGAATGTGCATCGGATCCTAAAGGGCCTATATTACGTTATAATATCATATCCTTGCCAAAAACATGCCTGAAGTTGTGTTTTGTTTCATTCACACATGTTTAACACACAAATCCTGCATATTTAGACTGAGTTCTTCTCTCAAACAGAAAACACTCTGTTCCACCTTTTGATGTCATGTGGTGATCCAGGAAGTGCCTTGTGTTTTTAAACTCCATACTCTTTCACTAAAATCAATTTGATGATTTCAGACCGGGAAATGCCAATCTCTACTAAACAAAAGTAAAAGGTAGCTGTTAACTTGAAAACTACTAATTTATGACATCACAAGGTGGAACAGAGCATTTTGAGCTTTGGAAATGTAGACAGACTAAAAATAAAGGGTTGCTCAAACATGAGTGAATGAAACAAAACACAACTCCAGGTATGTTTTTGATGAGGCAATGGCATTATAACGGTTTAAAGCTCACAAGAGTCAATTTTGCGTAACATAGGACCTTAAACAAAGCATAGAAAGGTATTATTAAGGGATTTACATGCAGTGACTTTCCCAGTAGCTCAAAAATTATGATAAAATAAAAATGTAGTGGTTATAGAGATCACAACTTTGCTTTAGAATAAGTCTTAGAATGTTTTCATAGATGCAGTATGTCATGTTTTTTGAAGAAGGTCCACCATTTGTTTGTCCATCTGGAGTTATTCCTTCACTGGGAATGTTCCACAATATGGCATAAACTCATCTAAGGACCACCGTAAAAAAGAAAAGATGCATCTCAAGGGGCAATCCAAAATAAATAAATTTCTCCATGGAGACAAGCAGGTGGCACTACCAGGTCAAATTAGATCAATGAAGAGGTGACCTCGCTCAGAAGAAGAATGTGAATGTGAGAACCTCTGGATAAATGTAAGATTGATAAGAATATTCCAGCCAAAGCAACAAAGATGCAGGTGGTGGATCCTCCACGAGAGAAACTGCATAGAGGAAAGCATTGTCTGTGTAATCCTTATAGTTATCTTGCATTCTATCACAAAAGTTTGTGAAATGCTTAGTTCTATAGTATAGATTAGCAAAGTAAAAGTACTAGTAGATTATCTGAAATAGTCATGTCTTACCTCTGCACTGTTCTCGGGCACTGTCATATTCATAGCCCTCAGTACACTGTGGATGATACAAACATGAGATTATAAAAGGAGCTGCAACATCTGCGTTCTGCCTGTCACATATCACATAGTACAGTAGTACTTACTGTGTAAGAGATGGGCTCCTCTGCCTCTTGAGACAAGACGTGTGAGAAAAGCGCACAGAGGCACACGCAGATGCCAAGCATGTTGAACCAAGCTCAGATCACTCTGAAGACGAGAGGCACAAGAACCAAACGGATTGAGAGGAGCGCAAGATCATTTTCGGCCTGACAAGCTGACACGTTTTAATACCCGTTATTACATCACTGATGGCATTGCTTAACGAGTCCCAACATCTCCCGCTGCTGGCGTGATGTTTACGTTGGCGTAGCTCCAGCTAAATCTGCGACTTCAACTGAGTGAAGTGTTTTTCTGCTGTTTTTCTCCAAAAGGATTAGTGCGCAACACGCGTAAAAGTCGTGCGTAAACATGCCCCCGTGTGCCAGTCAGCGTCGGGCTCACGTTGAGCCAAATTTGTTGCATGCCATTGTTATAATTTATGCGTATTTCTTAGCAGCATTAACTCCTAACAAGAAGGTTATCAGATTCATCTTTATAACGCTGTTAATTGACGCAGAAACACAAGAAGCCGTGTCAGGTCTGATCTGAGACACCTACCTGGAATACCTGCGGATCTCAGTGTCCCTGGAGACGGCGCGGAGAGACTTTAACCGGGCTTCGCTGCTGTCGGTGCGGTGGATGTTGGTCAGATGTTGCCGGAGCGGAGCAGGAGGCAGCTCTTGGGATGAACATGCGGTGTGTAAAATATGACATGCTGCCTGGGGGCGGTGTACCGGGGCAGGTTGTTCTCTGGTCCGCTCTGATGAAGCTCGCATCGGGCTACACTGGCTCCCTCTATAGACTGACGACCAAAGATGTCATTTTTCCTCATGCGTGTTCAAATAATTATTATTTTAAGCATTTAAAACGTGTCGTGTCAGCATTGCTATTTATCCTACTTGAGCAAATGCTTCAGCTATCCACAGTTACTACTATGCAGAGATGAGTAGAATAGCCCAAATTAAAAGTAAAATTACTTCAAACTAATATTACTCAAGTATAAAGTAGTGGTTCAAGTTAGTGGAAAACTATAATTTGGGGAAACTACTATCAAAGAATAGTGACTGTCTAGTTGCAACATGCAGATTTTTATAGTTTGAAGTCCAATGTAATTTGAAGTTGAAATGATCAGGCTACATCATGCACAGATGGTTGCTGACTGGTATTTTCAAAGTACGGATCACAAGAAAAAAATGCAAAAAGCTCAGATTTAAAAATAGTTGAATACTGTCAGCAGTCAATAAATCTTTTGTTCTTTACTCCAGCAAGTACTGTTACACTGTCAAATGTCTTCGTAAAAGTTCAAAAAAGTAATATACAACTTTATTTAAAAGTAAAATATAACCGAGAACTACCCACCTCTAATATTAGGCTATAACATTCCGAACCCATTTTCCTGATCTGTTCTTCTTTATTCGTTTCAAGTAATTTTATACACATATTTTTAGCATTCTTGAACACGTGGAGAGAGGTATTTGAAGTAGGTCCAGTAGAGGTCCGGGTTAGCAGCAGGTGGATTCCGTCAGATGCCTACAACAACACGCCACACATTAGCCTATAATATATTTCTGTGTGTTTACAAGACGCCTCCGATTTGTAACATCTGCTAGAATTGGCATCGTTTTGTGGATTTCCCCAAGGTGAAGAGCCCAGCACGTGGGTGAGCGCGTGTGCCAACAGCGCACTTACGAGGGGGGCGTGAACTTGGCACGATTGTTCTTAGAAATTTGACCTTTTGACCCCTCTCTTTGCTAAGCTGCTAACTCTCCCAAGGTTACAAGTCATTAGACATGGACTTTCCCACAGTAAGTAAGCATCAATTAAGTGTAACTAATCCACTAGGACTGAATTAAGTTGATTTAAAAAGAGATGGTTTCTATGGTGACGCGCATTAGTCCTGGTTTGAGCCTGGTTTAGCCCAAATGTACACTTGGTTTGGGCCTGTTCTAGTCCTGGGTTAGACCTAAACTTGTCCAGGTTTTAATATAGAGTGGGCTAGGACATTTAAGTTAAATAAAACTAAAATAATCATACATCCCAATAAATAGATCTAATTTTGTGTGTTAAAGGTGCAATGTGTAACTTTTCTGCTTGTCTCCATGAAGATATTACCGTTTTGCCTACGGATCTACGGAGAAGCAAGCCTGCACGTAGTACAAATTCATTTTTGAGCTATAAAACACCGGCAATTGAGCAACTGAGATATACAGATCTGGAAAAAAAAATAAAGAGACCTTGCTTCCTTCTGCTCTGACAATGTTTCCCAACTCTGAGGACTGTTTTTTCCTGCAGGACAATGCTATAATGCCACACATCAAGATCAATCAAGAATGGAATATTTCGCAGTATTTGAGGTCTGAGAATATTGCATCTTTTTTGTTATTTTGCCCATTTGTCATTTTTGGCAAATAAATGCTCTAAATGACAATATTTTTATTTGGAATATGGGAGAAATGTTGTCAGTACTATATAGAATGAAACAAAGATGTTCATTTTATTCAAACACATACCTATAAGTAGTAAAATCAGAGAAACTGATCATTTTGCAGTGGTCTCTTATTTTTTTCCAGAGCTGTATTTAATGCCCTACTGTGGAACATTCAGACCAAGAAATCACATCTCCACAGAAACAAGCAAGTACTGGACCCTCCACCTTAGAAGTTACACAGTGCACCTCTAATATGTCCAAGAGAAATCTGATATGTCAACAGCTGTGCTTACAACCTCTCCAGAATCTGATAAATATCCAGTTTCTAAACCTTAAAAATTACTGGAAGGACATGCAAACTGCACAATTTGAATTTGAGTAATCACAGGATCCATGATAAGAAAATAATTTTGCTGTTTACATTTCATTTTAATAATCTTTTAACTCCAACAATCAGATAAGGATATTTGGAGTGAGCATGTAACTGCAGCCAGTGGATTTTAAGCATAACTGTTATTGTAAGATAAGTACAATGAAATCTTTGTCTTAGTTGCTGGGTTTTTTTTTTTTTTTTGCATATTTTTATTGTTGCACAGATGTGAACAATCAGATTACGCACATCAAATTTAAGTGAACAAGACATTTCAATAATCTGAACTCCAGAAATAAGATAATGATCAGATTTTTGGTGTGCATGTAAGCACAGCCACTGTAGTGACAGCTGTGATAGATATTTTCACAGCAACATGGCTCTAGTAAACAAAAATAAATTACTGCTTTGATTTGCATTATAACCATAGACCGTAGAGTGTATATATAAACTGACAGTTAACCTGCTAGCCGTTGCTTCTGAAAAACTGTTGTCCCTCTCTCTGTAACTGCTGCTGTCAGGCTCTTAATTTTGGTTTTAAAATGTTCATATTAATTCACTCTACATGAGCCTGGTGTTTGCATTTTCACTATTTTATAAATGTGAACTTCATTTGACTGTAGCCAAACACTATGGGTGACATCGCACTCCCTTAGTCCCATCCTTTATACAGTCTATGATTATAACCAAACCTCAAGACCACAATGGTGAAATAACACAGGCGCAGACACATAGTTAAATAACAGAGGACTTGTTTATTGTCAAAGCGAGTGACACATACAGAACATGATTTCCTTTCAATTGTAGCGGCTGCTGTTGTTGTCGAGATGATTCTTTCGATGCTGAAGGTAATGCATCAGGCACTGTTGGCAAGTCAGCATCAGCCAATCAGTTCCTGATGCAGTATCATCCCCATCAGAAAGCTCCAGGTCCCAGCGGCAAAGACTAACACTACACAAATTTAAAAGTCTTAAAGGGCCATGTTACATTTTATTCTGAGCTATGTTATAATGTTGTTTCCTCATCACAAACATAAATGGAGTTGTGTTTTTTACTCACCCACGTTTAACATACAAAACATGCTACACAGGTCTCCAGAACAGTTGATAGTCAAGGTCAGTTAAATACAATCAATCAATGAACCTGCCCAGGGACGACAGGTGGAAATTAGCACTGATGCTACAACCTGATGTACAGTGCATCTCTCCTGTTAAGGTAAATGCAAAAATTGTGCGCTGTCCCTGTCTCAAATAAATAAACAACAACAACAACAATAAATAAATAACACCTTGTGATGTCATGTGATAACACAGGAAGTGCTCCATTGTGTTTTTAAACTCTATACACCTTCACTAGAATTTGGATGATTTCAGACCTGGAATTGCCGATCTCTTCTAAACAAAAAGGAGCTGTTAACTTGAAAACTACTGCTTCATGACATCACAAGGTGGAATAGGGCATTTTAAGCTTGTGCAGACAATCTTACAATGCAAGGTTACTCAAACATGTGTGAATGAAGCAATACACACCACCGGGTATGTTTTTGAGAAGGTAACAACATTATAACAAGATTTAAAGCTCATAAGAGTCACTTTGGAGTAATATAGGACCTTCACTGTGAGATAGGTGATGACCCAGCCCATAGTAAAACATCCATTACCATTCTTTTCATGTGACAGGAACACAATGGCCCCTACTGTAACCGAGCGCTTCAGTTTAAGTCAAGATGGCAGCAGAAGCATCTGGAAAGTGAATTCATGCAAATTGAGAGAGGGCATGCATTATGAAGGGACTGAGAGAGAGGAGGCGGAGTTCTGAAAAGACGCTGGTAAAACTACGAAGAACCAGGAGTTGGACCAGAGTTGGAGCAGACACCGCAGCACGCTGAGATGAACTGATCTAATTGCATTGACATCTTCATTGAGGGAGCTCCATCTCTTTCCTGTGCGATCCGAAAGGGAGTCTCTGCTGGGTGGACGGGGAGAGGCCCAGGCTGTGTTTAGCATAATCCCAGAGGCCATTGTGAGAGCAGCTAGTGAACCACTCACAGTTGCCAGCTGAGATTTCACCAAAACACAGCAGAATATGAGCGGATGTGTGAGGAGAAGAGAGGAGAGGAGAAGTGAAGGAGGAGGGGGTAGGAATGTGAAGCTAACCAGGAGTGGACACGGGCTGTAGTAATGAAGGGGAAAACACTAAAGGATCATAAATAGTGTATGGAGCAGATATATCGACACTTCCCTCTGTTGAGCCATTAGCGCTCGGTGCAGTTGTGCATGTAGGTAGTTAGTGCTTAGCCTAGCCTGCGGTGTTCAAAGGGAGCGCATGGGTCTGTCATGAGAAGAAATTTTGAAGTAAGATATATTGCTCAAGAAAATGTAGATGAAAAACAATAATATTTAAAGGTCCAATATTACGCAAAATTGACTTTTGTGAGCTTTAAGTCATGTTATAATGTTGTTACTTCAGCAAAAAAAGACCTGGAGTTGCATTTTGTTTCATTCACACATATTTAAATAATCTGCATTATTATTCTGTCTACATCTCCAAAGCTCAAAATGCTCTGTTCCACTTTGTGATGTCATGTAGTAGTAGTAGTTTTCAAGTTAATATCTACCTTTTATCTTTTATTCTGTAGAGTTTGGCAATTCCAGGTCTGAAATTATCCAAATTATTCTAGTGAAGATGCGATGAAATGTGGCCCACTGTGTTTTTAAACTCCATACAAGGTAAAACAAAGAGTTTGAGAGAAGAACTCAGCCTTAATATGCAAAATTTGTGTGTTAAACATGTGTGAATGAAACAAAACACAACTCCAGGTATGTTTTTGATGAGGAAACAACACTATAAGATACATCAAAAAATTGCGTAATATGGGCTCTTTAAAC